TTATTATTCCGAATGGTTCCATTCTTCTCCCATGTGGTTGTTGCCAGCATGGTGTGTCCGCCTCAGGGGAGCTGACCTTGTTATCAATCATTGGATCAGGGGTATCTAATGTAAACGCCACCGCGGTGTGGACAACATGCCACATCTGTTCTTTAGACAGAGCTGCTTCTTGGTTACCAAGCGATTTATTAGAGAGCCCCGCGTGAGGAATAATAGGTCGCAGCGTAAAGACCAACCGGCAGCGCTTCCATAGGCGCACAATTATCTCCTAAAACAGGCTGTTGTGACAGAATCATTTAACCCTCATTGTACACGGGAGAGTTCCGTGTCCTCCGAAACATCTCGGAAAAGAGAGAAAGGAAACTTAAAAAGCGCCGTCCTCCTCCGGAGAGCTGTGTTTGCGCTCAATTTATTGCAGATGAACATATGGCCAATATTTTGTCTCACGTCATAGCAAGGGGGAAAACAAACACGGTGCAATGTCAGCGTGTCAGCAAGAGCAGAGCCACTTGGCCAGCTATGCAAACGCTCTTGGACAATATGAGCAGAGGAGCACTTGCTTTCTGGGTATATAAACCACATCAGGCTTATCTTTGCACGCACTCCTGACTCCCATTTGGAGACATTTCATTAAGTCTGCGCGCTGTCCTAACGCTGACAACACATCCCAGTCTAGGTAAGCGCACTGGATGCTCCAGACACTTTGTACACAGTATTTTTGTGTATTTTACAGCTTAATAGAGTCTGTTTTTTTATTTTTATTTTAGTTGTGTATTTTTTTAACACAGTACAATAGACCTTGACCAGAATGACCCTGATCTGACTGATTTGAAAAGGGGGGACTCTGAGTGTAGGCCTGGTGCTTTTTACGCACAGTAGCTGGTGATCATTACGCACACTCACCTGAACAGTCCTACGCCTGGTTGAGCATTATTGTTGTGATCACACTGTTAAAGTGGCCTGCACCTTTGCGTTCGTTCTTCAAGGTAATTTATGACCATAATGAATAATAAAGAAAAAATAATTTTGTGAACAAATGGAAGGAAATTACTTGCTTTTCTCCTAAAGAAAAAAAAGTTCATATTTTAATTAACACCTACATTTAATATTTAACATATTTTACTTATAGGTGGGAAATTACTTTTGATTTTTTTTTTTTTAATTTTGGGACAAAAAATGAGGCGCCCTCTGCAGTTCAGTGATGAAGACATGGTCACGTCTGGTTTCTTCTGAGAATTTGGGCAGCAGTTTGTTTGGCTTTTAGAAAGTGTCTAATTGGAAGATCACCCCCCTGTTGTTTCTTAATTTTGCCGGCAGAGACCGCTAGAGCTCTACAGATGTCAACAGCTGTTGTGATTACAAACACCTTACAAGGAGGAGAAGTTGTGCCATCCGTGAACGCACCACTTAAATGCCTCCTTTTTTTTATTTAACTATCGGTTCTTTTTTAATCTAGTTAAATGGCGTTTTTAGTCTCTTGGAGACTCCATTGGTCTCACCACTGCGTTAGAGTCAAATGGGAAGTGATTAAAAAACAATAAACCCCATTTTTTTCAGACATTTTTCTTCACGTGGAGAAAATAAATAAATAATGGCACAGCATGGCATGAAATTCGGCGTTACTAATAAAGCGGTGGTTTAACAAATTGAGACRTCTCCTCGGGGCATGGGCGCGACGCTATAATCTCACCGTGACATGTTCAGTCATTAAAGGGAAAAAAGAAGAATAAAGACTTTTTTTTTAGCAGGAAGGGAAAGATGGTTGGATTTCTGAGGGGGGGGAAAATGAAAGAAAAAAAATCTTGCCCCCGAGCGAAGTCTCCTCAGGCCATCTTAGCCTCCATAAATAAACCGGAACCAGCTTTACCTGCTTTTAATATATTGGCTTTTAATCACAGAGAGGGGGAGCAAATCGGTCCTGTCACTCTGTACATTTATCATGTTCACCCTGAGGCGGGCGGGGTTACCTTTATCAAAGACTAACTCCCCCCCTCAGGCATCCCAACACGCTGAAATCCAGCGATTAAAGGAAGCCAGTGATCAACATTATTATTATGGATTCTCCTGCGGCATTCTTATTTGTGCATTCAATCGAAAGATTTATTCAATCAGGGATATAAAAAGCCCTTTCTTTACTTATTTGGGAACAATCGTGGGCATGAATTTTTAGGAGGGAATTATAATTAATCAGACAGGGATGTGGAGGCAATTTGAGGGGTTTCATCCAAAAAAAAATTAATTGTTTTTGAATGTTCTGATTGCATAGCTGGGATCAGAAGAAAACTATAACAAGCTTGAAGAATGAGCCAGTCAGCTCTGCAGTTTGCAGCTGATATTAAAATGGGAGAAGTTAAAAAAAAACGGGCGATAGTGCGATTATAGCAGAAATGATCGCATAAAAAAAGGTTAATCTCGCGCGCGCGCACTCTGTGCAGTTGGAAAGTCGTTTCGAGCGGCCCGGTGAGGAATATTATGACAGAATGGCTTCAGTTCTGGAGACAGAGCTGAAGATTTAATGGCAGCTGGACTGAAACAGGCGAGGGATGGGATGCACCGGCTCTGCGCCCCTCATTGTCCTCTAAATCCTGATGCATCTGCACCTCAGAGGCCCTTCTCAGCTACATCTTCTGTGCAGCTTTCACATACCCCCCCCCACACACACACACACATTTCAGACACACACATTTCACACACGCAGTCCTAAGTAGGGATAACGAAACAATGGCGTCCAATCATGGCAGGAACATCAACTTTCAGACTTTTACGCAAAAAAAGGTTTTAATTTTCGTTTTCATTTTCTTGTTGTTGCTTTCTCCGATAATAAAATATAACATTCATAAAAGTAGTAAATTTGCAAAAATAATCTGCTAAAATATTTTAACATATATTTGTTTAAAATAATTGTACTTAAATGCAGCCTGTGCGTAACCGTGCCAAATATATTTGGATATTTTGGTTCGGTGAAGTCGTCAGTTTCTGTTTGCACCCTGGCCCCTGCCACGCTGCAGAGGCCTGTTTGAACTACCTGTGAAAGTAAACAGGTAAACACAGAGCGAAAGGCTCTCCAAGTGGAGTACGTCCACTTAGCCAGTGCGCATTTACCTCTTCTCAAGGAAACCCTCGGCTCAATTGATCAAATACATCCCCGGCAACTGACCACAGCCCGGCAGCCCAGTGCGCGCGCTCCCATGGACTGTCATCGGTGACTCCCACCATGTCAACCGGTGCCACTGCGGCGTGAGAGCAGCGCAGAATGACACGAGGTGCTCACTCTGATTTGGCTCCACGCACTTTTTTTTAAAACACACCTCAGCGAGTAAATATTCTGCACGGGCCAAGTGAGCTCCCTGATGAGGCAGCGCATCCCGCGGGCCATTCCCTGCGTGACGAGTGAAGCTCTGTCCCTCTGGGTGTCTCTGCAAGCTGCGTGTTTCCCCCACCACCTCCAACACCACCCTTCATAGTATGTCGGATTTTAGCTGCAGTGGTGGATCGGGTCAGTAACCTCTCTCTCCCTTGCAGGGACTCAGGCGCACAGTTTGTCCAAGCAGCGCGTGCAGCTCAAAGGAGCCTTTGTGGGATGATGGGACCTTGTGAATAATTCTACCAATAGTGAAATATTTACCTCAGGCCTAAAAGTCAAACTTCCCCTTAAAAAAGGAGGAAGAAGAAGAAGAAAAAAAAGGTGGTGGTCTATTTTAATG